GCCCCGCATCAATGGGTCGCCAGGAGCGGGCGGGCCTTCCTTCGTAGAGCTGCGGTGAACCGCTCCGAGGGAGCTCCCCCCAGCCTACCATGGAAGGGCAGTGGGCACACCTTTCCAGGACCTGTAGGAGCGAGGGTCAAGACCGCCCGGAAGCTTGGCGCCCGAAGAGATTCAAAGATCTGGTTGCGGAGTAGCTTCCGATCCCAAAGGCCGCGTCGCGGAAGCCGCCTACGCCCGAGGCGCCGTACCCGCACTGCTGTCGTCATTACTCAGCGCGCTCGACGAGGCGGCGACGGTGAGGGGCTGAGAGGGGGCAGCGAGGGGTGAGAGAAGACGGGCGGAGCCACATCCCGGCTCCGCCCTCCTCCTAGCCCCCTCTCGCCCAATCGCAATCTCTCCCAGTCCGCGCGCACCGAACCCTGTCGACGGATCTGCAGCCTCCTCGCCCTCCGCCTCAGCGGCGCCAGCGCCGGCCTCCTGTAGCAGAGCCTGCACGAGAGCACTGCCGCCCGCCGCTCCGCCGCTCATGGCCTCGCCGCTCGATGCGCCGCCGCCACTGTCAACGCCGCCACCTCCGCCGCCGCCACCGCCGCCGCCGCCGCTGCTGCCGCCGCCGCCGCCGGCACTAGCACCGGCACCGGTGTCAGGCAAGCGGGCGGCGCGGGAAGGCCCCAGCGCCGCGCCTTCGCCGAAGAAGTCATACTCGGCCTCCTCCGCCGCCGCGCCCGCCGCCGACGCCGCGCCCGCCGCCGCTGCTGCGTGGGCCTGCCCCGCCGCTTCGTTGGCCAGCCCCGCCGCTTGCGCATCGGTCGAGCCCTCGCTCCAGCCGGCAGGCGCCTACCCACAGCACACGAGGCACCTCGCGAAGCGGTAGCCCCACGCCTCGACCCTCCCCGTGCGGCGGGCGCGCCTCCCATTGCGTCGTCTGGCTCGCCGCGTGGTAGTAGTACGGCACGCCCTCGGGCGAGTAGCCGCACTGCCAGCCGGGAGCGCCGCCGCCGCCGCCAGAGCTTGCGGCGGCGGCGGCTGGGTTCTCCCACTGCGTGGCGCCCGTCTCCTCGTGCACGTAGTAGAAGCTGTCGGGGAAGGGGGAACGGGGGGTGGGGGGTTGCATGTGCATGTGCATGTGCATGTGCATGTGCATGTGCATGTGTCTCTTGCTCGGTCGAGTCACCGGCCGTCTGGGTTGGCCTTGACCCTCCAGCCGTCGGGCGGAGGCAGTGCTTTCCCGCCGGCCGCGCCGCCGGCCGCGCTGCCAAACGCGGCACCGCCCAGCTGCTGCTGCTTCGCCGAAGCGAGCCGCGCTTCCAACTCGGCGAGCCGCGCAGCCCGGTCCGCCGGCCCGCCGCCCACCGCTGCGACCGCACCACCGCCGCCGGAGCGAGGGCCAGGGCCCGCGTCTTTCATGTACTGGCGCATCGCGTCGCGCTCGATCTTTTGCAGCTCGCGGCTCACCTCCTGCTCCTCGTGCCGCCGCTCGCGCCCGCGCTTGCGCATGTCCTTCATGAAGAGCTCGACGATCTCCTTGTGCTTGCGCCCATTCTCATGGAAGGCGATGGACGGCTTGGAGCCGTTGATGAAGATCTTGCAGTACTCGCACCAGTGGCGGGCCTGAGAGACCCAGTACTCCGTCATGTAGGTAGCCGCGCAAAAATGCCTGGGCGGGTTCGGGCTCTGGCGCCGGATCGGGACTTCGCGTGCCATCTCGAATCAGAATCAACACGAATTCTCTCGTGAAATAACTTCCGGGGCCGCTGTTCATCCTTTGGGGTCCCTGCCGACGGCAAGACCGAAAAGGAAAGGCCGCAACACTCATGAAAAAAGAAAATCTGCACACGACTGCTTGCGGTGCTGCACCCCCCTGGCAAGCCAGCGCAGCCGGAGCCGAGCTGAGGTTGTTGTGTCGATCATGGACCCCTCTCCGTACGCCGCTTTCGATGCCGACGCCAAGCCGTCCGCCCGTCCGTGGAAGATCGCGACTGCCATGTGCGGTGCCATCGCGCTTGGTCTCTCGGGCGCTGTCCTCGGTCTCGCGAACGAGCGCAAGCTGATGCAGCGCATGGGAGCGTCCACCGTGGTCGGCTCGTACATGGCAGACGCGCTAACCTCGATGTACGACTTTGAGTTTGAGGCGACGACGCTCGGCGGCGAGCGTGTGGCGCTCAAGGCCTTCAAGGGCAAGCCGCTGCTGGTGATGAACGTCGCGACGCTCTGAGGCACAACCGTGCGAGACTTCACTGCGATGAATGCGCTCGCGAGCAAGTTTGGCGATGGCTTCTCAATTCTCGCCTTCCCCTGCAACCAGTTTGGCCACCAGACGCAGGAGGACAACTCGGAGATCCTCAGCATGCTCAAGCACGTCCGCCCGGGCGGCGGTTTCACGCCTGCGGCGCAGGTGACAATGTTTGAGAAAGTGAATGTCAATGGCGCGACCGCCCACCCTCTGTTTGCCTGGCTCCGCTCGCAAATCCTGTTGCCGATGGACTCGATGGCGTCCGTGCACGAGGCTGGGATGCCGGACCCACTAAAGATGGTGTCGGCACGCGCGAGCGACGGCAACAGCACCCTCGTGCTGTGGACGCCAGTCACGCGAAGCGACATCGCGTGGAACTTCGAGGCGAGCGGCCCCGCCGCCGCCTAGCGCCACGCCCCGCCGCCCCCACAGTGCCCCCTTGTTCACCTCGCGCTCCCATCCACTCGCAGAAGTTCCTCATCGATGGCGACGGCATGTGCGTCAAGCGCTACTCGCAGTTCTACCCCACGATCGACATCGCGGCCGACATCGAGAAGCTGCTCCAAGCAGACGAGGCCGAGGGCGTGGTCAAGCCGACCACGCCTTGAGATTGGCGAATAGCTCCAGCAGCCGGCATGGCAGCGCCCGTTTGCGACACATCATGAAGGTCGTCCGCCAAAGCACTCCGCGTGTTCGGGCGAGCCGGAACTCGTTGTCGCACGTGGCCGCAAGAAGGTTGCGCTTGGGTGATGTGCTGTCCGCCCCGCCCTGCCCAAAACAAGAGAGTTAAATGGGTGAAAATAATGTCGCGGTCTCGGGCGAGGCCGAGCGTTTTTAATCTCTCGGTCAGTGGGGGGCCGAGCCGCCTCGGGCGTCGGGGTGGCGGGCGGGCGGGCGTTTTGAAAAACAGAAAACAAGAGGGGGGCCGGGGGCCCAGGCCCCCCACTGGGAGTAGAAAATACACCCAAGGGGGCCAAGGAGGCGGCGCGGGGAAGCAGCATCAGGTGGGAGCAGGAAGGATGGCGCTTAGGGTCGGCTTTGAACAAGGATTTCCAGGTTTTAGATCAGTATTGGTGTCGGCACACATCCCCACATGAGGTCAGCGGCGCGCAGTGGCTCTCTCGCAGGCTGATTTTGGCTGTTTTCGAGTTTGTTTTTGTTTTCAGACTAGGGGGCCCAACCCCCTCAGAGGCGGCGGGCGGGCGCCCACTGACCGAGAGATCAAAAACGCTCGGCCCGAGAGTGGAGAGAGAGAAGAATGTGAATGAGAATATTTTACTATTTACAACAAAACTCTCTCTCTCTCGACACTAGGCACGGGACTGGCGCGCACTGGCACTAACACAGGTACACCACGGGAGCCGCCTAAGCGACTCCTGCGAGGACATGAGAAGGTCGACTGGGCCGACTACGGTGAGCCATACGGACCTTGCACAAAACCTTTTCCTTCTAAGCAGGGCTACACAATGACCCTATAGTGTGGGGGTGTTCCTGGTGAGTTGTTATGAGTAGAATTAGATTAGCCAATGGTATTTTGTAGTTCATATGAAAATACCAACTTGCCTATGTGCACGTCTCCGCGGCGGCGGCCCGGCGGCGGCCCGGCGGAGCGGTCAGAGCAGCACTGCGCCGGCCGGCGATCGACTCTCGACTATAACACGGGCTCTATTGAATGGCCTCAAGGTACTCTCTAGGGCTGCCCTATTCCGCTCGCCCGGCTACGTCGCCGGGCTTCGAAGGAAAAGGTTTCGCTCGGCACGGCGTCGGCGAGCAAACTTCGACGTTCGTCCTATAGTGGAAGCTGGACGTACGCTTGCCGGCGCGGGTGATGCAGCCCAAGGTGACGGCGACGGCGGAGGGGGCGGCGGCAGAGGAAGAGGCGACGGCGGCGGCGATGGCCGCGGGGTCGGCCCGCCCGCTTTTGCTGCTGGTGCTGTGGGATGTCGGTCATCTCTCATCTGCCACCACTCGCCAGCGACAAGGTTGCTGGGTCCATGGACGCAGACTTGCTGGAGATTGAAGAGGTGCTCGGCGTGCGTTACTGTGCGATCCGAGCCAGATGACTGCGGTTGCGCTGAGGAACCCTGTCGTTGAAGACGACCAGTGCTTGGAGTACCTCGTCTCGGCAGGTCCCGACGACAGTGGCTTCCATTCTGTCGCTTGGTTTTTTCACGGCGACTTGCTGGACCATACAGGGCGGACACGGTCAAGGCAGCGATACAAGAGTACAAGGACTGGATAAGGAATTTACGGCGCTGGCGGAGGCGTGTGACGAGGCTGATGCTGAGTAGCCGCACCAGCGCTGCTCAGCGGCAGTTTGCGCCGACCAGGGGCAGGGGCAGTGGTAGACAGTGGACGTGGTGAGGCTGCTCTGCGAGCGATGACACTAGCAGGAGCATCATGAGTGTCATCGGAGTCACTTGTGTTACGATATCACCACGCCGCCACGATCGCAAGGGCCGCCTAAGCGCCTAAGCACCCTAAGCACCCCCCGCTTAGGCCGCTTAGGCGCTTAGGCGAGTGACGGCCACTCCCCGGGGCCTGGCGTGCCTCCGCCGTGGGCTGAGCGCCTGGGAGAGCCACTCGGCAAGTGGTGTGCGAGCGTGTAGCCTTTAGCGTGCAGTCGGCCACTGGCGCGAGACGCGCGCTAGTGAACTCGCCCAGGGAAGCCGATCTGTGCCTTATCGTTGTGCACATTTTTTACGCAAATACTCGGCCCCGCTAGCAAGTCACGAAGTTGGCAAGGGAGAGGGGGAGACGAGCAAACATCACGAAACGGACACAAAGTCTGCGCACACTGGCCACTGTGTGCAGTCCGCAAAGCGCCAGCAGGAAACGAAAACAGCGCGTTTTCGTCACAGCGTGAGGTTACCCACAGAACCTCAGTATTTCTCGAGCAAAGTTCAAACTCTATCTCCGCACCCCGCATCGCCCAACAAACGTGTGCGCTCTCCGTCGTCGTCGCCCACCGGAGGCGCGCCGCTCTTATCGCCACACACACACACACACACACACACACACACACACACACACACACACACACACACACACACACACACACACCGCTCACCCACGCGCACTGGGCCTTGCACTTTGAATGCCGTGGGGCTCCTGTCGTCAGACGTGGAGACGCGAGGGTTGCCCCCCCTTGCCCCACCACCTCGTGTGTGTGGAGAAGTTTACCTTACCTTACCTTACCTTACCTCGCCCTTGGCCTTGCCGCGCCGGGACGCCAAGCCCGCGTAGAAGCCACGCACTCGCAAGGAGTTGAGGACGCCAAGCGTCGCCAGCGTCGTTGTGCTCTCAACCGCCGCGGCCCAGTGGCCCCGAAGAAGTCCAAGCCGCCGCGCCCAGTCGGTGGCAGCCAAGAGGGCAGCGCACCCTGCGAGGGTTGCCAGCTTCAGCGGCTGCAGCAGCGCGGCGAGGATGTGGTCGTAGCCGAGAAACAGCATGGCGAGTTGGCGAGCAGCGCCCAGAGGGGCAAGTCAGACGACCCACGCAGCAGAAGCTGCTTGGTGGCCTGCCCCTCGAAGAGGTCGTCGGCGTAACGTCTCAACTCGCGATTGAACTGGTCGCGGGCGCGCCAGTCGACAAGGGGCACCATCTCGACGCGGACTCTCTCGGCTACGGGACCGGCCCCAGCTTCGCGTTCGGCTGACAAGCTGCCGAGCCCAAATCACTATAAAAGGCGTGATTTAAAAAATAAAGAAGAAAATTGTGCTCTCCCGTTCCCCCGACGGCCTTTGCCTGGCATCCACACAAGGAAGCGGCCATTCACCGCACAACTGTGAACGGTGACTGTGCGTCTTGGGTCCGGAGTTGTGCGTTTATGTGAACGGTGACTCGAATGAGGAGCGAGTCGTAAGGCAAGCCAGCACTTCCTCGTCCGCTCGCGCTTGCCGCGCCGCATTGCGCCCGACTATACCGCCGCGAGCTGCACGCCTAGACCCCCGCGACGCCTATCGCTCACGGAACCCGCCGCCCCCTCACCTCCCCCACCACGCGATGCGCCCTCGCTCGTCGCTCGAGCGGCGCGAGCGGCTGTTCCCCAAATGGCCTCGCACCGCCTGCCTACTCCCGCTCGCAGGTGCAGCCGCTGCCATTGAGGAGGGCGCGAGACGCGTCCGCTGCTGCCCATTCCCCACCCTTGTCCCGCGCGACCGCCCTCCCTCACTTCTGGCAAGAGAGCGACCCGCTCCCGCTTGCTCGCCAATCGCCGCCCGGCTCCAGTCCGAGCGCCGAGGACGCGAGAGAGCGTGCCGGCGGCCTCGTCTCGACGCTCACGCCGCGACGTGCTGCCCGTAGGCGCGGCTCTCCTCTCTCCGACTCGCTCTCTCTTCCCATTCAGCATGCACATGCTGTGCGGCGCGTTTGATTTCTTTTTATCTGTGCAGGCGAGGCTCGAGGCTGGGGGGCGGGTAGGCGGGGGGGCTGCGGGGCTGGGTGGGTGGGTGGCGGGCGGGCTCGAGATCGCGCGACTGATCGTTTCGTGGGGAGATTCCCCGAGCGCTGGGTGGGTGGAGATTGCGACGATTGATCCAATTCTCGGAGCATTTGGAGATTCCTCGAGATATTCTTATACCCCCATATACCCCATATACCCCCATATACCCCCATATACCCCATATACCCCCATATACCCCCATATACCTTCTGGACATCTCCATAGCCGTTTTTGACCCTCTTTCACATGGTCATGATCCCGTAGGTGCTGACCTCTCCGTTCGCCGAGATGGACCCGACGGAGATTCGGAGATGACCATCGCAGTACTGTTATTGCTGGGGACTGGAGACTGTGCTGAGCGGAGACTGTGCAGAGTCTCCAGTAACCAGTACAAATAGTACTGCTCTGCACAGTCTAGTAACCCAGTCATAATAGGAGTGCTCTGCACAGTCTCCAGTAACCACTAATAATAGGAGTGCTCTGCGCAGTCTCCAGTCCCCAGTCATAATAGTAGTGCTCTGCACAGTAAACCAGCAGCAGAGCTCTGCTGCACAGCCTCCAGTAACCAGTAATAATAGTACTGCTCTGCACAGTCTAGTAACCAGTCATAATAGTAGTGCTCTGCACAGTAACCAGCAGCAGCAGTACTATCACATGAACCCGTCTCTCTTTGGCGTGCATACCCCCGCGCGGCTGCAGGAACTCGATCAACATGCTCGACAAGCTCAAACTCGAGCTCGTGCCGGCCGCTGGTGACAAGCTCGTGCTCAAGCTCTCTCCTCCGCCGCCGCCGCTTGCTGACAAGCAGGCGTGCTTGCGCGCACGTGACAATGCGCTCCCACCTGCAAGACCTATCCTCCGGCCTTCTGGGTGACACAGGCGTCGCTGGCGGGCAACACGACCGTTAACGCTGCCGGAGGCGAGGCCGCCGGCATCCCGTCCGAGGGCAAGCCCGCTTCGCTCGAGGACGTCATCGGCAACGGCAATGACGTCCCGTCCGAGTCGGCGCCGACGGCTCCTGTCGGCATCACATCGCTGTCGCCTTCGCTCCTCGGAGCCGAGGTGAGTGTGCGCACGCCAGGATTGTCATCATCCCTCTACGGTCTCCCTGTCTCCGCACACTTGCGTGTTCTCCCCTCACCCAGGCGTGCGGCATCAAGTCCGCCGCCGCCGAGGAGTCCGCCGCCAAGTCCGCCGCCGCCGAGGTGTCCGCCGCCGCGGAGGCAGTCGCCGAGGAGGCGCCCGTCGCCGAGGAGGTCGTCGCCGAGGAGGTTGCCAAGGACGTCGAGAAGCCGGCCAAGACCGTTTCCAACACGCCCGACCCAACGGTGAGCCAGCATTCTCTCCTGGCACTAATCGCTTCCCACCCACCGGTAACAATTCTCTCTCCGAACCAAGAACGACCCGGCGCTCAAGCCGGTCATCAAGATCGACACGGCTCTCAAGCAGGCGGCGGTTTGCGGCGAGACGCTGCCGTCGGTCAAGGAGCCTCCGGAGGAGGAGCCCGCCCCGGCGGCGAGCGCCTCCCAGCACCATTCCGTGCACACACTGTCGTAAACCCCGTGACTCTGTCGTACGTCGCGCGCAGGGCATCGACGAGTGGGCTCTCAAGCCGGCGGTGGCCGGCGGCGAGACGCTGCCGTCGATCAAGGAGTTTCCGGAGCCCGCCCCAGCGGCGAGCGCCTTGCTTCTGTGCCGTGCGCCTGCGGACCCACACTGACTGACCCCACCCCGCTTTCATTGCGTAGGGCGACGACGGCTGGAACGTCTCGGCCAAGGAGTTTCCAAAGGAGAAGCCCGCCCCGGCGGCGAGCGCCGCATTCTGTGCCGTGCGTCTGCGGACCCGCTGACTGACCCCATCGCGCGTTTTATGCGTAGGGGCCCGACTGGATCGCCTCGAACTCGCGCAAGAAGACGGAGCGCAAGGGCGAGGTCACGCCCACGAAAGTCTCCAACAAGTACGGTCTGCTCGACGACGTCGAGACGAACGTCATGGCGGAGATCGACGAGGACGAGGACGAGAAGAAGGCAAAGGAGAAGGGCGCGGAGTCGGGCAAGGAGTCCACGGTGCGCGCCCTCCCACACAGACGACACACACTGCCCCGCGCCCTTGCTAGCGCGTCGCGCGCACCGCAGTTCGAGTCTGTCTCGCCCGAGTCTGTCGGTGGCATGGCGCCCCGCGGCTCCACGCCGTCGACCACAGACTCGGTGCTCGCCGCCTCTGCATGCGCCGGGCTCCCTTTTGCCCGTAGCTCACAGCCAGTCTGACTCCCACGCCCCCTGTTCAGGGCGCGCGGGTCGATAAGACCACGACGGTCGAGAAGACCACGACCGGCTCCGTCTCCGGCTTCGGCTGGTTCTCCTGGCCCAAGTTCTGCTGGCGCGACATGCTCTGCACCGTCTTCGTCTGCCTGATCGCGGTGGGCGCGAGCGGAGGGGCTTTTGCCTACTTCTCGCACGGCTCTGACAGCCTTCTCCCTTCGATCGCTGTGCCCGATGCGACGGCGCTCCCGACCGAGCGAGTCCGCGCCGAGACAGCCAGCGCAGTGCTGCGGCCCCAGTACCAGCCGTCGCCAGTGGAGCGCGAGTGGGCGAGGCTGGTGGCGGAGGTCGATCCGAGGGAGTGCCAGCACGCCTGGTCGAACGGCTCGCGGCTCATGGCACGGCTCGAGCGCGACGTGGCGTCCAGCGCCGTGTTTGAGCAGAGTTCTTCCTTCACCGTGGGCCCCGAATCCCAAGCCCTCGTCTGGCCTATCGAACCTCTGGTGTCCTTCTTGCGTTGGCCCGCAGCGCTGTCGCCAGGCCATACCACGCGCGCGGCCATCATGAACAAGAGCTACTACCAGCTCGCGCCGGTCCGGGCAGGGTCGCGCCGCTTCTTGTTCTTCGACATAGGGGCATCGCTGTACTCCAGCGCTCGGGCGGGCGGTGATGGCGGCTCGTCACTGCGCTGGTTCAGGAACCGCTACCAGAACCTGACAGGCTCCCCACAACCTTTCGACCACATCTACGCCTGGGAAGGCCAGGAGTACAACGCCACCGTCCTGTGGGACTCGTTCCCCGCTCAAGTGGTCCCGTTTGTCTCGTACTACAACGTTCGAGCCGACGCGCGGCCCAACGCCAAGCACAACCCGCTCCGAGTGCTGACGCAGGTGGCGCGCCTGGACGACCACGTGGTCATGAAGCTGGACGTCGACCACCAGGCGACGCAGGTTGCGCTCATCCAGCAGGTCCTTGGCAACCGCAGGATCTCGGCTCTGATCGACGAGCTCTTCTGGGAGCACGAGGTGGCCGGATCCGCGATGGGCTGCCCACGGCTCTGGAAGGGGCGATCGGGTCATGGATGGTCGACAATGAGGTTTGACACCTCACAGGGCCGTGGCGGGACGCTCGCCGAGTCTTATGAGCTCTTTGGGCGGCTGCGCTCACTTGGCATCGCCGCACACTCTTGGGTCTGACGGTAGAGCAGGCGGACATCGCTTCCAGGGAGGGGGGCGCACTTCTACTCACACCACATGCTAGGGGGGGGGGGGGTCCGACCCCCCGCAGAGGCTTCACCACATGCTAAGGGGGGGGGGGGTCAGAGACTCGTGGTCAGGCCCTCCGGGCCCTTGATTTTACGCCTCGTTTCGCAGCATTTTCGAGGGGGAAATCATCCTTTGGAGCTACATGAGCCTTGAGACTGGTCAGATTCCCCAAGATATTGGACTTTCAGCCACGATTTCACACACTTTTGGGGGCAAAATTGGCTCTCTGGCGACAATTCCTAGCCCACGAACCGCTGGGGGTGCCCACCACATGCTAGGGGGGGGTCCGACCCCCCCAGAGGCTTCACCACATGCTAGGGGGGGGTCCCGCCCCCCCCAGAGGCTTCACCACATGCTAGGGGGGGGGTGGGGCGTGAGTAGAAGTGCGCCCCCCTCCCTGGAAGCGATGTCCGCCTGCTCGTAGCCGTACAGTACACCATGCACGCGCGGCGCTGAGCATGACTGCTAGACTGCATGCCTGCATGATGCATGAGATTGAGAACACACTGAGAAGCCAATGCTTAGCCAAATTTGGGAGCGTGTGAAATCGGGTCGCTATGGACGGAGGGTCGCTTACACCGATTCGCGCAGGATTCGCGGTGGATTCGCAGGGATTCGCAGAGGATTCGCGCAGATTCACGCAGCACATCAGGATTTCCCCGCTTGCATCATATCATGGATTCCGCCATGTTATTATGGAGTCATGATATCTCAAAGCTCGGCACGTCATTTTCACGCTCTTGAAATCACACCTTGCCATTTCACACACAAGAAATCACGCTCTCGCCCCCCCCCCCCCCGAGCCTGAACGAAGCGATATTCGTTTGTCATTTTCTAATACAAGGCGCGCGATACACATAATAAGTACAAACGAAGTAGCCGTGCGCGCTTCTACTGGACACGCGGTGGGGCGCAACCAACATGGCCAGTGCTGTGCCGCAGAGCACCGGCGCCCACCAGACAGGCCGTGCGGAGCAGCAAAGCGTCTCATCTACATGCGCCGTACTCTGCTCGATTTCTTCCCTCCGCGAAGCCTCCACGCAAACCCGGAGTGGTGAGGGGCTGGTCGTGCGATGTTCTCAGGCCCAGTGAGGTAGTGCATCCGACGGTCCGGATCCTGCTGAACAAGCTCCTCTTGTAGCTCGATCGGTCACACCGCCATCGCCGTCGGGGAGAGGGGGGACGACACTGCTTCTGCAGCGTGCACCTCAATCCTGTACCGTGTTTGTTATGCCCCCCCCCAATGAACACACCAGTGAGGGTGGGCGAGACGATCGAGGGGTCCCGTACCATGCGGAACCGACCCTATCCAGTGCTCAAGTGCTCAAGTCAATAACAAGGTCTGTGAGCTTCTTGTTTCTTATCAACCTGTCTGTGAAGAGGTATTTTCTTCTCAATAAGAGGGCTCCCGCGGCGATCAACACCGCAACTCCTTTTCTAAATTTCACCACGCTTCTTACGCGCGACGACGCTACAGCCTCCACCAAACCTCACACTTTTACTCACCCTCGGACATGCTTGCACCGTCATCCTGCGCGTCTGATGCGTCGCGCATCTGCTCGTCACCCTCTCCGTCACTCGCGTCGGCGGGCGACCGGGCTGTGGGTGCGGCCTGCTTCTTTCTTGCGCTCGCGGCGCCGGCGCCACGGCGCCGTTTGCGTCCGTCCTTTGCGCTTCGCTTGGCAAGCTCGCCCGCAAAGTACGCCGCGCGCGCGTCATCCCAGACGCCCTCCCCGTCGAGGCGTGGAAGCGCGTCTCCAGGTCGATGGCCGCCTGCTCGGCCGCGGCGAGCTTGCCCTGGTCGACGCACATGCCGCACACCGCGTGCGCCGGGCAGCCGCACTGGCCGCGTTGTGGGCGCACGGTCTTGGCGACCGCCGGCGCTGCGCGCCGGTCGTGCTGCTCACGCTGCCGGCGGCGCTGGTCGCGCGCCTGCCGATCGCGCGTGTTCGCGGCGGCTGCATCTCTTGCTCGTTTCGCTCGCACCCGAGCGGCTGTCGCCAGGCGCTTCAGGTCGGCGGTGCTGCGCGCGCGGCCGTCGGCCAGGCACAGCCACATGTCCTCCTCCTTAGCAGGCTCGCACGGCTTGCCGTCGAACTGCGGCTGGCGCCCGCGACGATGCTTCGCCCAGGCCGGGCACGATGGTGCCGCGACGAGCGGCGTCGAGGCGACGGCCATCGATGGGTCCAGAAGACTTGGAGACACTTCTACCAAAAAAATCGAGCACAATTGCGTTACATGGGCATGGCCGGGGTTTCTGCACCGAACGATCTTACTTTCGGTCTATCGAAAGTGTTGATCGATAACAAGGCTGTGAACAGTCAAGCTTGCCAGCGGCGCAGTGTAAACCTCACCCTGCTGCAGGCCGTGCAGGCGCTAGCGGCCGCTAAGGAAATGTCGGACAACCATTTCTTTGCAGAGCAGGAGCTGTGCAACGGCCGCCTCAACGACAGAGTGGTCGACAAGCAGCGGCGCGCGGGTGAGCCGAGGCACTGGCGAGTCGCTGCTCCGGCGGCGCGCCCGCCGTTGGGGCTGCGTGCGCCTCCTCGCCCACCGCGGTGCTGCATCCGGCCTTGCTTCCTGTAGGCGCGACACGAGCGCGTGACTTTCACGGGCGGCGTGGTGACGCGGGTGACCGAGGAGGTCAGCTTCGATCCGTCCGAGCCGATGCTCGCCTCCGGAGCGGAGCTTCTCGCCGGCCTGAGCCCGGCGGAGAGGCACGCGCTGCTGCAGGCGGACCCGCTGCCCGAGCGGGCGCCGGCGGCAGAGCCGACACCCGCGCTGGGGGCTTGCGACGCGTCCGCCGGCTGCGACGAAACTGATGACACTGAAAGCGAAGAGGCGGCCGCTGGACAGCACACCTTTCGCGCCGCTCACGCGGGGGTGCGGAAGAAGAAGGGGAGGCGGCCGGCCGGCCGGGCTGCCATTGGCGGCGGAGGAGCCGTGAGAACCGCCGCTGCGTCACGGCCGTCGGTGGATGTGGCTCGGCTCTCGTTTGGTGGGGAGGAGGAGGAGCAGGGGTGAGGCTATCTGTGTGAGGTGATCACCCACAGAATCACAGAGTGACACCAGACGCGCCACACAAGTCTCTCTCGTGAATTAAAGATTTGCCCGAATTGTGTAAATGAGTTTCGGGGCAGTTCATCATGCATCATGGGTATAAGGTCGGTCGCGGGGTCCCGGGGGGGTCGATTTTTGGAAGTGAATAGCACGGCATAGAAACAAGGTGTGCGTTAGCTCGAAAGAAACACATAGGCACCCACATGGGTTGCCATCCCTCAACACAAGTGGCCCACGGTTCACATTCACACACCCGGCCGCACCGCTCACGCACGCAAATGGCTCTCGCACCACCTCAACACACGCGCACGGGGGCGGAGGACGCGCGCTAGTCACTCCTCCTCGCCCTCCTCGCCCTCCTCCGCCTCCTCCGCCTCCAGCTCAGACGCCGCATCGAGCTCCGCCTCGTACGCGTCGATCAAGTCGTCGTGAATCTGTGACTCTGGCTCCCACGTCGACACGTCGGGCGGGTACCCCTTCCAGAGGATCAAGTAGTACGTCACCTCGACCCGCTTCTTGCCCTGTGAGGCGAGAAGAGAGGTGGTCGGGCACGTGAGCGATGGAGTGGCAATAAGCAAGGGCAGGTGCGAGTGTGAGGGCGCAAGCACCTTGCCGACCGTCTCCACCTTGCTGTCGAGAATGCGCTCGATGTCAAACTTCTCACTCGCCTCCCACTGCCAGCCGTTGAGCTCACGCAGATCGACCCTCTTCCTCTTCTTCTTCTTCCCGCCGCCGCCGCCGCCGCCGCCGCCGCCGCCGCCGCCCTCTTCGCCCGCCACCCGCCGCTGCCGCACCTTCCGCACCACGCCGTCGCCGTCGCACCCAGAGTCGCCGTCCTCGAGGTCGTTCGCCTCGACGCCAGGGTCGCTCGACCAGCGATCCGAAGAGTGGCCGCTATCTATGCGAGGGAAAGAGCGGGGCCCTCGACGCCTCTGTCCGGCCCTCCGAGGGGGGGAAGGGAATTGCGGGGTCCCCACGGGCGCCTCAGTTCGGCCCTCCCGAGGGGGGGAGGGGGAGCCAGGGGGTGGGGGGATCGGGGCGGTGGGGAGGGGTCTCGGTTTTGTGTGGCTAATACTTGCCTTTCGGGGAGGGGCCTCAGCCAAGCGCTCATCACATAAGTGAGAGCTGCCCGACGTCTTCCCCCCCTCCCTCGAGGCAGCGAGTAGGCAGCGAGTGGAGGTCTCGAGCGCCTATACGACAACACTTTCAGAAATGGATTGTCGACGCAAACGGCAGGCCCGAACGTGCTCGAAGAGACCGACTGGACCCATTGTTCAGATCTTTCGGCTCGATTGGGGTTCGCTCCGCCGCCGACGCTGGTGCGACAGCGACGAGCATCAACACGATGGCTCTTGACGCCGACACCTTCTTCCGCGTGCTGCTTTTCTTGGTAGAAAAGCTTTGGGACGTGGACACGGCGCCCAGAGAGGGTGATGACGCGAACGCGGAACTCGAGCAATTCGTGCAGGATCGCTGGCGTCTCTGCAAACTCCTCAATCCCCATGATCGGCTCTTCAAGCAGGGTACTCCAGAAGCAGGTCTCCGGGGGCCGCTTTCCCGCGGTGCTTTGCTCTTTCACCTTCGCCTCAAGCAGCGGGCAGACCCCACGGTACTTCAGCTCGCGCCCATGGACCCAGTCCCTGTGTTTGGGGTGCACACCAGCCGTCCAGCCGGCACTCAGCTCTCACCCCGTCACAGCTAGCAGTAGACATTGTTCGGTAGGAACGCGGTGCGAAAGCGATCGAAAGCGCGACCGAAAACAAAGAAATGCGACTCGCTCACCCGTCACAGCAGACAGGCTCTCTCTCACAGCAGACAGGCTCGACACAGCTCACAGGTGCGGGCTGGCGCGTGCTAGCACTATCACAGGCGAACCACCGGAGCCGTCAGAAGAAAACCCGCTGAGAAACACGGCTTGAGCACTTGAGCACTGGAAGGGTCGATTCCGCGTGGTACTGGGCTGGGTTTTTAGGCATTGTGGGGTTGGCACTCCCGTCGACCCTCATGACCTCCTGCGGTCTCTGAGATGGACACCAGTAGGTGTGGGACCATAGCCAGGGTACACTCGAAGGCTGGGTTAGCAGTAGAGGTCGATACTCGACGCGTCCCACATGGTCTGTGTCGCTGTCGGCACGCTGTCGACAGGACGTCGAGCGACACCGGTGGCAGTGCCACCCAGGAGTGGTCGGGCGGTCTCCCGTCATGAGAGAGCCACCATGTGATCCGTATGATGATTCCTGACAACCGCCTCAGTCAACTTTCGTCACAGTTCCCGCTCTGAGAGGAGCTGCGGGTCAGTTCGACAGCTGGAGCTGTGTCGCCGGCGTGCAGCGGCCTGCCTCCGGAGGTGCCTCTGAGGTGGACATTTTTTGGTCACCGCGAGAGAACGCGTTCGAATTTTTACTCCGGAACTTCAACTCTGCACGCGCACCGGCCAGGGCTACATTAGTGCCAGTGAGGCGGAGGCGCGAGTCGGAAGGCCGCGACCGTCAAGTGTTCCCTTCGTTTTCCTACAATCGCTGTGAACCCAGCCACGTACGAGACCCCTCGACCGTCTCGCCCTCCCTCTCTGGTGTGTTCATTGGGGGGGGGTCACAACAAAGACGGTACAGGATCGAGCACGGCTGCTCAGAACGAGTGCAGGTGGGGACCCTGTCCTCCTCTCCCCCATCCCTCGTTTGGGTTTGACTGTTTTCTTTCTTTCTTTAGAACGGAGGCTGAGGAGAGCGACGCGGTCCCTCGTCGAGACTCACAAGAAAACAAATCTGCAGCACGGCCATCCCGCCCCCCCCCCGGGGCGTCTCAGAACGAGGCTGAGGAGAGCGAGGAGGCAGAGGATGAAACAGCAGAAGAGAGAACGACGAGAGTGGGAAGAACGCGAGGTGGCATTGGAAGGTCGCTGCGAGAATTGGCGAGAAGCTGCGAAGAGACGCGGAGTGCAGCAGAGTCACCGAGTCGATCCGCGTGCCTCCTCGTGTCCCGTACCGTTCTCACACATCCATAAACTCACTTTGGCCTCACTGAAGCGATGCCTGAATCCCAAATCCTCAGATTTTAGATTAGGACGCTGCGCACCCTCTACTTCTGGTGACACCGGTGAGGACCGCTCACGTTGTTTATCAGTTTAATTACCGAGCGCGTCCAGGGTTAGCGGCGTCGAGGCGCGCAAGGCGAAGTAACTTCCTGCTCGGCTTCCTCCGGGCTCGCCGCAGCAAAAGAGAAGCGGCACCTGCGCGACGATCGCCGCCGATCTGCTAAAGGCAGACGGTACGGGCGATACGATGGCGCGGCGGCATCTCGTGAGGGTGAGCCAGGCGAGGACGGTCTTCTCCATCAAGCCGCTGTCAGTGTAGTCCTGGCTTCCGTACTTTGACGCCGCCGCCGTCTCGTTGAGGTCGACGAAGCCACGCGGGCGCGTGAGCTGCGTGTACAGCGCCGGCGAGTCGGAGGTGGCAAAGCGCCGGCCGGATGAGCAGCGTGAGATCGACTGTGGCATCGGGACGCGCCTGGAGCGGGTAGCGAAGGGGAGCTCAAGGTGGAAGAAGCAGGCTCACCGCTCGCACGAGAAGGAGGTCCGCGCTTAGAGCCCGGGGGCGCGTTGCAGAGCTCGAGGTCCTTCGGCGGCACGTCGCGGTTCGTGCTGCTGCCGCTGTTGCAGGTGTTTTCGATTGAGCAGTGCGCGGCGTCGATCGACAAAGAACGGAGGTGCAGCCCTTCGTCGCAGGGTGGGATCTCGTGTCGCACCAGGAGCCTACGGCGAGAGGGCAAGGGGCGAACGTAGGCGCGATGTTCGGGTGGTATCTCTCTCGGCTACGTCTGGCCTGGGATGCGGCCGAATGAGGCGGAGGCAAGGCGAGCTGTCGTCCTTCATGTCGGCGCACGACGGCGGCGCGGTCTTCGGGCAGATCTTCTTGACGCCGGCTCGGCTGCGGAGGCAATCCAGGACATGCTTGTTGGGCGCGAGGTGGATCAGGACGGTGCTGAAGTTGCTGCGGAGCGCGGCAATCACGCCCTTGCACGTCGGCTTCCGGTAGACGGCCAGCCGCCGCTGCGGGTCATGCCACTCGCCCGTGTGGACGTACGCTCGCTTAGCTGGCATGCGCTGCACCGCGTTCCACGCCCGGCGCGTCGCCCGGAGGGAAGGCAGACCCTCGAAAGTGATGTGGCGGAGGAGGTCAAAGTGCACGCCGTCGCACATGGGTGGTGGCGGCGCAAAGTGCTCATTCAGCCGGCGCGGCGCGCAGAAGGCGAAGCGCACTGCCCTGTCTGAGGCGAGTGCGAGCTCGAGAAAGTTTGTCATGCCGAGGACGATGTGCCCCAGGCCTGTGCCGCGCCAAGGATCGAGAACAATCACCTATTTTCAACGTGTCCTTGAGAACCTAAACGCGCGTCGAGATTAGTGCGATTTTTGGCGATTTTTGATGGTCTATTTTTCGCTTGGCAGTGGTGGGAAATCGCACTATTTAAGGGCAAAAACCGATTTGCTGTGGGGGGCGTGAGGGGCCGCCCCTCCGGTGGGTCAAAATCGTAGAGATGTGGCGGGGGCTTGAAATGTGCGACGTCTCGCCCAAAAACGAATCAATCCCAAGCCGTAATAAAGCCGGTGAAGTCAACCCCTATCCCCGCGGCTCCATGTGCTGGAAGAACGAGCCGTGGGACATGTGCGCCTTCGGTATTTTTGACCCGGCCGCGAGCGTTATGCAAGCTATACCGATACAAAGAAGAGCGCGCCCGCCTTGCAAACATGGGCTGCAAGCAACGCGGGTTCCGTGGTCAACGGGCGTTCGACCACACCACCGGCCAAGGCTACGTCAAGTCACAGCGTGGCCACTACCATGATGGGATCTTCACCAAACGCAACAAGTTCAACCTGCTTCTCCACGAGACATTCGGCGGCGGCTTCTCGCCGCCAGCAGTTGCAAAGATCAACCGCCTTGCGCGCAAGGCTCAACGCTCGGGCGTTGACCGCACCGCGTACCCTCCCCACTCCCGCCTCTCATTTGTGTCACACCACGCGGAACGCATCTCCATCGCTTCGGTGAAGGGGGTGAACCGTGCCATCCTCGATCGCCGTGCAAAGCTCGCTTCCGAGCTCTCACGCCGCGCGTAGGGCCCTTAGGGGCCTAGAGAACACAACCCCCTCTCTCTTTTCTCCCAGTAAGCTAAAAGTACGTACAAAGATACCGACGACGGGTCATATCTGGAGTCTTACACCACCATGGGGCAACTACTCTCAGAGGATTACGCCGTCAGTCCCGTCTGGGACGGACAGCCAATCCTTGCGGGTGGCGGGACATGTGCTGCTTCTCAAGACGAAGCTGATTCAGACTGCAAACAGCAGGGAGACGGAGCGGAGAACTTCGCGGTGTCGTCGTGTTCGCTTCAAAGCCCGGGCGACTCAGAAACGAAGGGCCTTGCGGACTATGATGCGTGCCTCGCAAAGTGCACTGGCGAATCGGCTAGGTACATGGTTTTCACAATAGGATCGTCGACTGAGCCGTCGTCCTGCATTTGCTGGATCGACTCAGAATTCAAGCAGTCTTGCACGCAATACATCTTTAGGAACCCATACCTTACCCTTCCCGCTGGTTTCGATGGGGCGCAACTCGACGACAACTGCTTCGGCTGCGTCGCCGAGGAAGCGACGAAAAACTTCCATGAGTGCATCGGAGCGGCGGAGGGGGGCGGATCGCTCACGATTGCGCCAGCGCTCCCACCGTCGCCAAGTTCGCCACCATACCCGCCGCGGGCGCCCAAACTGCCCGACGGCGGGACGCCGAGCGAGGTCACGGCCATCTTCACAGCAACTATCGACTGCGACCACGCCTTCAAAGAGCTCGCCAAAGCTGAGTTTGGCCAGGCGTGCAACGTTAATCCAGACGACATCAGTGTCGGGTGCCAACACGAGACTCTGCTCTGTAATTCGGGCACGTGCAGTGAGGGGCGCCGCCTCGCTACAGCATCGCAAGAGGTGGTAGTCGTAATGAGGACGACAGAAGACAATCAGCAGAACAACGCGGCTGCCCGAACCTTCCTAGATGACGGCGCCGCAGAGAGTGCCTTCGGTTCCTCCATCACGCGAGGCCGACTTTCGCGGCCGACACGGCACCTTCTACAACTTTTTCTCCGCGCCTGACTTCGGCGTCAACGTCAAGATGGAGGAGGCTCGCTTCTTCCTGCACGGGGACAAGCTGACCGTGGATGGCACCTTCATCACCGAGGCGCCTCCGCCTCCCCCCCACCCCTCCCCCCGTCCCGCGCGAGGCCCGTGTCACCTTGCGCCGCGCGCCTAGGCGCACGTGGTCGTGCGCAACCGCAAGCTGGCTCAGACCAAGTGGGCCAACGCCTCCTACATCGCGGCGAATCTAAACGACTTCAACACGGGCTGGGCGTTCGTCCAGGGCAGCTGCGGCGGCGCAAACTTCACGCGCGGGCTCGGCAGCCCCAAGAAGGTCTGCGGAGGGCTGACCGTCAAGACCACCTTTTCGGGCGCGTCCTTCACCGTCGGGAACTGGACGCTGACCGTCCACGGCAACTACGTCTATGGCCGCATCTCTGACCCCAGCACCGCCTTGACCTCGCCTTCAAGGCCCGCGGCGACGCGCCCGCGCGCTCAGTGCCGCATGGCATCGTCGGCCAGGTCAGAGAGAGAGGGGGGGGGAGAGGGAGAGCTTGCCGAGAATGGCAAAGAGATACAACATCTCCAGCGACACTGAGCGACTTGCGCCTTCTCCCGCTAGTCCTTCTCGTCGACGGCCCCGCGCCATGGGAAGAAGGACGTCTATCCCAAGGAGGGCCGCACCGTGACCTCTGCGATGGTTTTTGCATAGCCAGCGCTCAGCCACACAACCTCACAAGCACCTGCACTCTACGATTGTGAAAGGGGGAGGGCGCGATCGAGGGACGTGCAGCACAGTACGAGGTCCCTGGGCCATTTGGGACGGACTTTGCTTTCTCCCGTTTCGAGGGCGGGCGAAGTGCACCCAGCCGGGGCGCTCGAGCCGGGCCGGGCCTCACCCCTGCACTCTCTGTCCTCTAGGCGCCGAGGCGACTGCACCTCGCGAGGCAGCACGCCTGGCCGACATGGAGGCCGCGGCCACAGAGCGGTCGGAGTGAGCGCCATCCATGGCACCGCTTTTGCAACCCACTGGGCCTTGCACCTCTGCGGAGCGTGGTGCGAGAAGCAGGTGCGCTGTGGCGGTTTGCAAGGCGGTGTCGTACTGAGGGGGGCTGGGCGCTGCTCGCTTCCGGCGCTGCGCGCCTCCGTTTCTTCCCTGGTGGGGGGCGTGTGTTTCTTTCCCAACGCGCAACCCCCAAATTGATCGGTGAGGGAAACGGGCGGCATTTTCTACATCATCCCTCGCAGGTTGCGCGGTGTTTGTTCCCCCGATTCCACCACTCCTGGGTGGGGGTTTCTTTGCTTTTCTCGGGGGGTCTT